TTTACCATGTCCATCCCTTGCACTGCCTGTGAGTTGATTATTAGAACTGGAGCTGTGGTTTTCAACCTGGCTGCACATTAGGATCGCTAAAGAAGCTATTAAAAAGTGCCCAGGCCCTACCCAGACCAGCTGAATGGGGATTTCTGGGAGTGGGACCCAGGCACCAGTGAGCCAGGGTCAAGAACCATTGCTCTACAAAAGGCTTGCACAGACTCGGGTTCAAAATTTTGGCAAGGATGTTTCATAGAATTGGTTTATGGTTTTGGACCTTTCCCTCAGAAGGCACATAAGATCTAATTAGCCCTCTCTTTGTGTTGTTAGCAGGCATGGATAAGCAATTCCTACATCAGCTAACTCATTAGAGGTTGCAAAATGGTGATATAGAATTATAACTGGTTGGAAAGTTTAAACATTCTGATCACATGTCATCAGTAAACTAGAATTCAGGATTTTTGTGACCTCTGACCTCAGACACCTTCCCAAGGGTGTGCTGGAAAAACCCAGCTCCTGACAGTATTCCCATATTCTGAGGGTGTGGGTGCCTGGCCTCATGGGGACAGAAAGGTCAGACTCTGTGGACCAGCTGCAAGAACAAAGCCAGGATTTTTGTGACCTCTGACCTCAGACACCTTCCCAAGGGTGTGCTGGAAAAACCCAGCTCATGACAGTATTCCCATATTCTGAGGGTGTGGGTGCCTGGCCTCATGGGGACAGAAAGGTCAGACTCTGTGGACCAGCTGCAAGAACAAAGCCGGTCCAGACAACAAGACTTATTATTTCCTGACAATTTCAAGAGTCCTTGAGAAAGCCAATCAATTCCATGTTCAAGCATTTTTATTTAAGGAGGAAGGTCTGTGTTTGATTTCAAGTTCCTGGCCAATGATGGAGCCAGTTTCTCTCAGGACCTGAGTGGCTCTTGAGTTACATCAGCAGCAGCTGAGATGCTGCTGGGGCCACATTAACCCTCAGGATGCCGGCTGGGGTTCCACATGGGAAAGACCTAAACTTCCCACACCAGAATCCATAAGCCCCATATGTCTTTCACTCTGGCTTCCTGGAACAATCACACTGTCTCTCTGAAGGGGAGAGGAAGTTAACATCTGAGCAGATTTTCGGGCTGGGAAGTCTTTGATCTTCTCCCACGATTAGTTGTTACTTGAACAAACCATAAAAATGTAGAGGGCCCTGAGCACATTAAGATTTGGGTAGGGCATAAAGTCGCGGTTCTTGGGCTCTCTACACGCAGACTGTCCACATGGCAGCACATTTTATCCTAAGCTCCATGGTAACCTGCACTTTTGTCTAGGTGCCTGTGTGGTGTGCAGTGCTGTCAATGCTGGCAGCTCTTTGCAGCTGATAAAACCTTCCCTGTATACACAGGGTGCCTCCTGGCTGCTCCCAGACATACAGTCTCAGTTAAGAGCTTGCATTGGGGGTGACAGAGGACACCTAGCAGGGGATGGGGAAGGGCATTTCCAAGGTAAAAGTGAATTTTCCTTCTATGACTTGGCATATTTGTTATCAGTCTTTTTTGACACGGAGCAGGAATAATTCTATTATTTTCATAGATTTTTTCTTTTTTCTAATGTGGTTTTGTCCTAGGGACAAGGATGCTCTCTGGCAGAAGTCAGATGCCCTGGAATTCCAGCAGAAGCTCAGTGCTGAGGAGAGGTGGCTTGGGGACATGGAGGTGAGCCACTGCCTCGACTGCAAGCGGGAATTCAGCTGGATGCTGCGACGGCATCATTGCAGGTCAGCAGGTGGCTTGCGGGTGACACTGAGACCCTGGTGAGGCCCAGAACCAGAGTGTGGGGCTCTAACGAGCACTCTGTGATACAGAGTGGTGCCACAGCTAACCGTCTGGGAAGAGCATGTTGCTCTTTGGCGTCAAGGGAACCAGGCGAGGAGGGTATTAGTTGGGGTCTTATCAGGACACTCAGGGTTCCCCGAAAGGAAAGAGAGAGTGTGGGTAGAGTTAAGGGGACCCACAGGGACGTGGTGCACCCAGAAACCAGCCACCCTTCAGCTAGTCCTCAGCACACAGAGACTGAGGGGAGCAGCATTCCTGGCACAAGAGCATCACTAGAGGAGCACAGGCAGCACTGGAGGTGCAGAGACCCTCCAAGGGCCCAGAGAAGTGTGGGGGAAATGACTCTCAGGTAGGGGGGGATAGATGGGGAATAACTAGCACAGGCCTCTGAGGGTCTGTGGTCCACTAGAGCCTTTGCCCCCGAGCTGTGCAATGCACTTTCGCTGTAGTATCAAGGAAGGTGGGCTCCTGCCCCTAGGACCTTAGGAAATAAAATATTCTCCCACTAAGCTTACCAACATAGCTTTATTGGAATCTTATGAAATGGGCCTACACTCTAAAGTGGGGCAGAGCCAGGCCTGACGAAAGCCACGTGGTACCCAGAGCCCAGCACAGAGCCCAGTCTAGTGCAGATTACATGAGACTCACAGCACATCAGCCTCACAGCCCATTCTTGTTTCATTTCCAGGATATGTGGCCGCATCTTCTGTTACTACTGCTGCAACAACTACATCCTGAGCAAGCACAGTGGCAAAAAGGAGCGCTGCTGCCGGGCCTGTTTCCAGAAGCTCAGTGAAGGCCCTGGCTCCCCTGATAGCATCGGCTCAGGCACTAGCCAGGGAGAGTCACCAGCCAAAGCTGGGCACCAGGCCACAGGAGGCCAAGGTCAGATTTCTGCTCCTGCCCACTGTATTTTGTAGGTGCCAGCCCTTCTCTATTGTGGCTAGTAAGCTCTAATAAGCTTAAGTCAGTATTTTCTGGACTTAGATATTAAAGAGGTGCTGAAAATATATTACTACCAATTTGAGACTTTCTTTTTGATGTAATTAGGATTAAAAGAGAGTTGAGAAGAGGATAACTTTCTCCCAGTATGATTCACTGTGACTTAACAGGAAGTCTGTGTACCTCTTAACACACGTACCACTAGTGGAGTACACCTGACACTTTGGAAAATGCTGTCTCCCCGAGCCTCAGCCGTGGAGTCCACTCTCTCCCCCTGAGTAACCCAAAGCCAGAAGTTGTACCTGCAACTGTCCATGTCCTTCACTCTCTCCCTGAAGCTCACAATCTCTCTTAATGGCCAAGGAGAGTATATTCCCCTTCATGTCCTCCCACTCAGCTCAGTAAGAGGAAGCAAAGTTTGGCTCCTGCTGCTTCTCCTCTGAGCTCACCCCAACAGACCAGCCCCGGCTGCCATCTGGGGGACTGGATTTGAATGTAGAGCACAGGGAGTCAGAGCTGTGATGGCAAGGGCAGGAGAGGGTCTTATCTCTGTTCAAGCATCTCTGCCGTCTACAGTGGGTCCCTGTGAACTCCTCCCTGGCCTCTGCCTGCATGCATGTCAGCCAGCTTTAGACGTACTGTCAGCTCCTCTTTTGTATAAGTGGATCTTCAAGGAGGTTGGCAGGCTCCATCATTTTATTGGGTACAAAGTACCACACAGGGAAGGAGGTGTACTTTGCACAGCATTAGTATATCTTCTTCAAATCTTTGGCCCTTTCTAAAGTTGTTTTTTTTTTAATTATTGAAATTTGAGAGTCCTCTATGTATTCTGAATACAAGTTCTTTATCAGATTTGTGTTTTACAAGTATTTTCTCCCAATCTATAGCTTGTCTTTTTATTTTCTTTCAAAGAACAGAAATGTCTTTCAAAGAGCATAAGTTTGTAATTTTGATGAAGTCCAATTTATCAATTTTTTATGGATCAATTTTTTTCTTTTTGTGTCGTATCTAGATTTGCTTAACCCAAGGACTCAAAGATCTTCTCCTGTTTTGTCTCGAAGTTTCATAGTTTTCGGTTATACATTTAGGTCTCTGATCTGTTTTGTGTTCATCTTTGTATATGGTACAAAGTATGAATAGAGATTTATTTTTTGTATGTTTGTCCAGCGGTTCCAACACCACTGGTTGAAAGTCTATCCTTTTGCCATAGAATTGCCTTTACACCTTTGTCAAAAATCAATTGATCTTATATGTATGGATATATATATGGACTTTCTATTCCACTCCCTTTATCTAGTGCCTATTCTTTCACCAGGTATGTTTACCATCGTTTTCTAAAGCATCTTAAAGTCAGGTAGAGTGAGTCTCTAATTTTGTTCTTTATCAAAGTGTTGTTTATTTATAAATTTTAGAACTAGTTTATCAATTTTTATAAAAAAATCCTGGTGAGATTTTAATTGGGATTGCATTGAATCTCCAGATCAGTTTGGTGAGAATTTTATTAATTTTCGCCAAAATTAATAAAATTGACTCTTTAAATTTATGAACATGGTATAGCCTTCCGTTTGTTTAGGTCTTCTTTGATTTTTCTCAGTATACATCATTTTAGATTCTCATTATCTGCTCTCCTTTCCTTCTGCCAGTCTCAGAAGGCAGGCTGAGGAGTGTGGCCGGGTCTGTGGAAAGAAACCAATCCTTGGCCCCTTTTTTCAGCCTATGCCTCAAGCCCTCCATTATACAGACTTGAGACAAGAGGAAGAATGTTCCTTCTAAAGCAGAGTCTGTCCCAGCAGTCTTGTGGCAGAGCCAGCTGGGAACTCGGAGCTCACATGCATGGTTCTTGTTTAATAGTCCAGGAACTTTCCTTGCCTAGACTCACTGGTGGGTGTGTCCCATTGACAACAGAGAGTGGCACCATGCCAGAGTGCTGGGGTCACTTGTTTTGATTTCTGACATTTCCAGTCTGCTTATTTTTGTCTATTTTTCTTATTTTGGGCTTCAGACCTGCCCTCACATTTTCTATGAGATATGCTGGACAGTGCTAGTGTGTGGGTGACTGGCACGGGAGCATCCCTACAGTGGCCTTCCTACTAAGTGGTCTGCAAAGTCAGGCACAAGGCTCCTGGTCAGAAGCCCAGTGCCTGCTACAACTCCCAGGGCAGAGGGAGGGTCTCTCCTGCCACCAGTGGGTTGAGGGAAACACAGGTCAGGCAGACTCCTGTTTCAGAGAGGCATGAGTAGCACTGCCTGTGCCATAGGGCAAGGGCCCAGTGACTCAGAAGTGTGTTTTCTTTACTGTTAAGTTCCTTCCTGATAGGGTTTCAGTAGGTTTTTCCTTCTAGATAAGGGGCCTCAGAGCATATGTAAGAGAACAAAGCCTCTCTAGGCACTGACTTTGAGGCATCTTTTAGGCTGTGTGTTCAATTTCACCTGTAGCTCCTCCTCCACTTTTCTGGAATGTGCCAGCAGCCATTCCTCTGGCCTCCGGACAGGATGGCTGCCAGCTGGGTGGCCGTTTAAGGTGTATCCCCGCGGCTCATCCTGCATGGCTGCACTCCCTCACTTTCCATCCTGTGCATAACGGCATGTGTCTCCTCTCTCCTCTCTCTCATCTGCCTCTGCCACCCAGGAGCAAACACAGACCGCAGGCCGCCAGACGACGCCGTGTTTGACATCATCACGGATGAAGAGCTGTGCCAGATTCAGGAATCTGGCTCCTCCTTGCCTGAAACACCCACCGAAACAGATTGTCTGGACCCAAACGTGGCCGAACAGTGAGTAGATGCCACCTCCACTTCCTCCTGAGTGCTCATTACAGGGCTGGCTCTGTGCTCTCTTATCAAGGACCAGGAGGGTGAGAGAGTGGAAGCAGGATTGGCTGTCTTTGCTTAAGGGAAGGTGCTTCAGGACAGTGCTCAGGGAGGGATGCCCTTGAAGAATCCCTGGTCAGAGAGTTCCTGGGAAGTGCCAGTGGTCCCTGATTTCAGCATCTCCATTAGGTCTGTCTTTCCTGGCTTGGGCAATGTATTAGTTTGCTCAGGCCTCATAACAAATACCACAGATGGGTGGCTTAAACAACAGAAATTTATTTCCTCACAGTTCTAGAGGGTGGAAGTCCAAGATCAGGGTGCCAGCAGGGTTGGTTTCCTCTGAGGCTCTCTCCTTGGCCTGCAGATGGCCACCTTCCTGCTGCCTTGTCACATGGATGTCCTCTGTGTGCGTGCCTGGTGTCCCTCTGTGTCTCCTAATCTCCTCTTATAAGGACACCAGTCACCCCCGACCTGGCTTGTCAGGGGCTGAAGGCAGAGTGTGGCTTAGTGCCAGTGCAGCAAAGCATGCCCTGGGACTGGGCTGTGGGGGTTGGGGAGAGCACTACAGGCTTACACATCCAGGGGAAGCTTCAAAGAGGAAAGGAAAGACCCAAAGTCACAGAAGCAGCAGGCAGTGGGGGCTATCTTGGGTTCAGTGATCAGGTTGGCTTTGTGCTTATGGCTACAATGCAGCTGGTTTAGTCTATCTTTTGGAAACTCTAATCAGGCTTGGTAATGATGCCACGAGAAGGGAAACTTGGGTTTAGCTGCAGTTGTTTCTGGTAGATGTGTTCTCTCAGAAGTCCCTTTAGCTCCATATGAGCCCACCCAAAGCCCCAGAGTTCTAACAGCTATGAAAATGTGGCAAGTCTTTTACCCTGCATCCTGCAGAACAGAACCCAAGGGACTTTCCATGCACCCAGCCTGTGCCTGGTCCCACTACCAGTATATTACACTGCTCGTAGTCAGTGACCTGGACCACTGAGCTTTCCTGGCTGCTATAGGACACAGCTTTCGCAGTCAGGGCAAGCTTCAGAGGAACAAAACTCTTCCAAATGAGTTTCCAGCTGGTGGACTAGAGGGAGGAATTCTGAATGCTTACAACGGAATGACAAGTTATCTGGCCTCCTGAGACTTCACCTTCTTTACCTGTAAAATGGGATAATAATCCCTACTCCTTTAAGGGTGGCGCAGAGGCTAAGTGAGGCCATGTGTAAGAGCAGCTGGTACATGGAAGACGTCTGTTAACAGAGTCGCTTTCAGCAATACTACTTCCGAACAGCCTTTTTTTCCCCATAGACTTGGACTTAGAGACTGCTCAATCCC